TTTTATTTTGAATATGCAAATTTCAGCATCAGGAGAGCCCGATTTCCGGATCCCAAGATATTAATTATTTTCCGGGCAACAAGATTTCAGCATCACCTGTATTATTATACAGTGAAATGCCTGACAAAACTTATGAATGTGAATGTGCTTATATATGGATCAGTTTCTTCACAACACCCTAACTACAAACATCTGGACTATGTTGTAAAACAAGCAATTGCTGGTGATCAAGTTGTGTACAGGATGGCTATCCAAAACATTATACTGTTGCAGTGGGCAAGTTTAAAGAACTCCGAGAAAAACCACATCGACTTGCTTACCGAAATTATACCTGGAACTGTTCTGAGAAATAAAAGAGATTCCAAACGAATGAAAGAACGCTTGCGAGTTACGACCATTCGTCTAACTGAGAGCTTAAGGAAAAAAAAAAAACAGATCCGGCTCAAAAGAGCAGAGAAATAAAAATTTAAACGGCTGGACAAACCTCAGCATTTTGGCCGGTGATGAAATGAATTCTGGGGAGATGGAGGAAGAACTAAAGAGACTTGAAGCAACAAACAACAGTTTTAATGGAAAGGTTACAGGAGTGTTATGGTGAAGTCGATGAATGGAGAAAAAAGTATGAAAATCTTAAAGACGAAAAGGAAAATCTTCTTGAGGAACTAACAGAGGAAATCCTCAACAGCCAGGATAAGAAAAAAATATCTAATCAAGAAAAAGAAAATGAAGAACTAAAAAAAAATATGTAAGAAAGTTAGAGAAACAGTAAAGTAATGATTTCAGTGAGAGACAATTGTTCACTAAGGAGATGGCAACACTTTCTAAACGACGGGTACGTCGTAGGTTAGAAGCTGTCTCAAGCAGAGCACGAAAAGCCTTATGATGCTCTGGGCTTTAAAGACAATGAGGGAAATCAATACTCATTAAAGATGTCACCTTCCAGTAGTACATCATGTGCTGCACCCACCCCATCCCAAACTCCTGGCCCTACCCCTACCCAACTTCCTGGTTCTGCTCCATCAACACCACCAACAGTCCGTGGTTCTAACACATTTACTCCATCTCAGGCCTCTGGTTTTATGACACCTACCCCACCACAAGTCCCTGTCACATGATAACAACAAAGATGAAAGTAAAAACCTGCACCTTTCCATCGCTCGCTAGGTCAAGAGTTTCAACACGAAAAGTTCGCGCAGTATCAATGTTTGCGAACTCAGAACCAGCTCTGACAAATTGCACACTTTCAGGCTTGTTACTGCTATTTCACCGTTTTCTTTAACCCTGAGAAAGATAATGTTGATTTGTCACAGTAGCTGCAAGAGCAATCAGCGGAGATAAGCTTACAGTAAAGAAACCG